GAAGGTGTACGTTAATGAAAAATTGTTTTTGGAGAGGAAGTGGAATAGTCTGCTCTGAATTTATTTTTGAAAAGGAGCATGGAGAATATTGGGTATTGGGTCAGATTTGACGTTTGGATGCCTAGACAGAAGTGAGGAGAGAAGGGGAGTTGGATATATTGAACAAAGTTTGAGAGGGCTAAGGACGATTAGTAGATGATAAGAGAAGGGCGAAAATTTAAATACTAATGAAGAAGTAAAGTTGGAAAGTGGGTTATGAGAATAGTTGACGGTGGAGCGGAAGAAAATCTCGATTGAACGAGACATGGCGATTGACACAATTTGGACTTTTCTGTTTTTCTTTAATGATTTCTAGGTCTTCATATAGATCTAGTTTGAGAAAGTTTTTTGTGGGATATTATGAATAAGTGAGACATCTTCTGGGATATTGAGAGTGTGGTTGTATTCTTTAAGATTTTGAGAGAAAGTGGAAGTATTTTCTCTTTTTATGTGCTCTAAAGAGCGTGAAGACAATGATCTACATGTTCTTCCTATATACGTGGCATCACAATCAGAACATTTTAATCTATAAACACCACTACGGTTCATATAATTGATGGGGTCTTTGGAATTGGATATATACTGACCCAAGTTATTAGGTACTTTAAAAGAAACATGAATATTTTCAACTGAACGTTTGATTAGATTTCTAATATCTCCAGAAATTTTATATTATGTATACAGTAGAATACCAAAACGTAGACTATATACTTGGAAGTCTCCAAGCGATCAAGGAGACAATATAGTAAGAAATCAAATTGATTATATAAGTCAATGAAAGATTTAAAAACTGCATAAAATCGGTCAAGACTTACCCAGGAGCCGATATTCGGTCAGACCATACTCTACTGTGCTCTACAATCATAGTTCCACGAAATTAGACTAGAAGATACCAACAACATAGATGATTGCTGGGAACAAACGAAAACGACAATAATCACTGCATCTCGAGAAAATCTTCTAAGACGACCGATAGTTAAAAATTACTGGATGACGCAAGACATCTTAGATCTAATGGACGTTCGGAGGCAGTATAAATCCATAAACAGACAAAAATACAATGAAATACATAAAGAAATCCGAAAAAGAATTAAAGTAGCAAAAGACCGATGGCTACAAGAATCCTGTTTAGAAATTGAGAAACTGAAGCAACAACACGACAGTTTCCATTTGCATAAAAAAACTAAAAGCAATTAACAGGTAAAAGCAGAACTTATGGGCAAAATATATTACAAGACTCTGGTGGTAAAATTTGAAGTGATATTAAAGAGCGCTGTACCGAATGGGAAAATTACATAATAGACTTATTTAACGATGACCAAAGAATCTACCAAGAAATAACATCTAACCGAGATACAGGGCCATCGATTCTAATCTCAGAAGTTCAGAAGGCTATCGACCAAGCGAAACGAAGGAAGGCGTCTGGTCCTGACGAAATAACTGCAGAATTGTTAAAACTATTAGATAATGAGAGTGTTGCGATTATCACATCCTTCTTTAATAAAATATAGAGCAGCGGCAAATTACCAAACAACTGGTTAGAATCGATATTTATAACTATTCGCAAGAAAAAAAATGCCAGACAGTGTAGCGACTATCGACTTATCAGTTTAATGAGTCACACGCTCAAAATTTTTATGAAAATATTGCATTGTCGCATATATAAACTTTGTGAGGGGATAACTGGTGATGAGAAGTTTGGTTTCCGAAACGGTATGAGTACTCGAGAAGCTTTTTTTGCATCCGAATACTCTTACAAAAAAGCATTGAGTTTGGGAAAAATATTTACGTATGTTTTATAGATTTCGAAAAAGCCTTTGATAGAGTACCACATACATTATTATTTCAATGCTTAGACTCAGTTGGTCTGGACACGTATGACATTAGATTGATCAAAAATCTTTACTACAATCAGACCGTTTGTATTAAGGTGGTCCAAGAGGTTTCAGCTAAAGTTTCTATTAAGCGTGGTGTCAGACAGAGATGTTTATGTCACCGATGTTGTTTAATGCCTACACTGAACCAGGTTTTGAAATAGCGTTAAATAATCGCCGCGAAGGTGTTAAGATCGGTGGTGAAATTATTAATAACATCAGATACGCCGATGACACCGCAATAATGGCAGAGAGTCTAGAAGATCTTCAAACCCCGTTGAATTCTGTAAACAACGAATGCACTGAAAAGGGCTTAACAATCAACGCAAAAAAAAACAAAATGGATGGTGGTCGGAAAACTTAATATCGAAGACTCAGTACTAAGATTAGATAACAAAATCCTGGAAAGGGTGGAACACTTAGATATCTGGGTAGCTGGATTGACTGCAGGGTTGAAAGTGACGAGGAAATTTCGACCAGAATAGATCTCGCACGGAAAAACTTTATTAACTGGCGTTCTGTATTATGCAGTAGAAGTCTGTCGTTAACCACACGTCTAAGAGTATTGAAGTGCTACGTCTGGTCCACTTTGTTCTATGGATGTGAAACCTGGACAACAAAAATAAAAAATCTTAACAAATTAGAAGCATTTGAGTTATGGTGTCCCCGTCGCATGCTCATAATCCCGTGGACAGTACACATATCCAACGAACGTGTGCTAGAGACCGTTCACAAAGAGCGAGCATTGATCAACATCATCAAAATGAGAAAGGTCCAATACTTCGGCCATATAATGAGAGGATCGCTTACTCCGGTTAATCATTCAGGGCAAAATCGAAGGAAAACGTTGGGTCAGAAGAAAACAACTGTCCTGCGATTGCTTTCGCTTGTGTTGTTAATAGTTATTAGGCAGTTAAAATTATAATATATCGCAAAATTAGTATTTGCACAATGACAATAAATATTTATAATTGGATGTAGCACATATTTCCATATAAATTTGTAATTATTTCTGAGTTACACTAAGAACCTAAAAACAAAAACATAATAAATTCTAGCCTCTCGAATATTTCTTAAGAATCTAAGCCCTACTCGCACTAACATAAACGTATGAAGGACAATACACATATATAAAATACGGTAAGCAATACTACCAGTTTTCAGTCGATTCAGCTCAATCAATCGGTTACTTGTTATTTGTTTTAAACGGCAACGAAAATTATTGAAACGAACGAATGATTGAAATGATTCGATCGTTTTCAGAGTTGGTCACTGATTGATTCGATCCTTGTAAAATGAACAATTGACACAACACTAGGTGAAAGTGTATTTGGAAAACGAAACTACACTTCAGTATTTAGTCCTATTTTGAGCAGAGAGCATAAAGTCCCATAAATATAAATCTGGTGAATCATTAAATAGTTGCTCTAAACTGCTAGTGTTGAATGTATTGTCTTTTATAAAATACGGAAAAACTTAATGTGAGTGCTGCTGTAAGGGGTACTTCGTTGATGACTGGTGTTACGAAAGAAGCATTAACAATATCAAAAAAGAAAATGAACTAAGTGGAACGTTGAAATCGCAAAAAAAACCGCAAACCAATTGAAAGGTTTAAGTAACGGTTTAAAAGCACCTACCTACCAAACGAGATCCACGATATGTTTCATTACATGCAGGATTTTTAGGAGGTTTTCTTCCTGACACATAGCGTGTTTTTAAGGCAAAGAAAAATCGTGTTTTTCTTTGCCTTAAACTTTTTAAAACTTTTTAAAATAAAGATATAAATTTTATAAATACCAAATTTACCAAATAATGGTCACAGAAATGTCATTGTAATGGACAATGCATCGCATCACTCCCGTAAACAGAGATTTCCTAACAATTCCTGGAATAAAACTGCAATCAAGGAATGGCTAGTGAAAAGACATTTATTTGAGGAGTGCTATTTGAAATCCGAGCTATTAGAAGCAGCGCATGCTCTTAAGGATCAAAACGGTAAATATAATTTTGTGTTACACAACATGATGTTTCTATTTTAGAATCCTATAGAAATGGTGTGGAACCAAGTTATACGATATGAAACTACCCATAAAATCACGTTTAAAAACGAAGAGGTGCACCAGTTGATGGACGACGGTTCCACACATGTAACAAAGCAAAATTGGCGCAATTATGTCACTCATGTCGGTGAGAAAACGGAAACTGAGATGTGGATAACGGACAACCAAGACGACGCCAGATGATGTAGACCAATTGATTATAAACGTGAACACACGGTAGAGTAGCGAAAGCATATCCGACATCTCGTATATAGAGGACGACATTAGTATAATTTAATATCTGTGAGTAACCTCGATTATTCTAAAACCAATGAAATGCATTTAGCAGTCCAACCAGAGTACGAGCTTTTCAGGTTTTGGGCCGGGTGCACAGAAATCGAGTATTATTGTCTATTTTTTCATTGGAAAGCTTTTTCATAGCTTATGAAAAGTTGGAATAGGAATGTGCAAACCGTTTCGCTCTAAGTTTGTCTCAAAATACAAACAGTCTCAAAATACAAACAGTAAATTTACTGTTTGTATTTTGAGAACGATTTCCGAAGTGGAAATTGAAACGTCAATAAACGTATTTTAACTTTAATTGTGGCTTATTCCCAGTTAAATAGTAATTCATTTAAAATGCCACAAGAAAATAGCTTCAGAACAATGTCAATAACTAAGAAACAATTAAACTTACTTAGATAAAGGATATGATACACGAAATCTATTACCTATCGAAATTTTACTAACTATAGTTTTCCATAATCGATCGATGCAGTTTCCGGAGATCCTACCCTGCATAGCTATCAAAAAATTTAACTTAAAATATATTTGTTTCATAAATTATACAATTTAAAATAAAATTCTGGCTAAAAACCAAGTCTCTTTATTAAAATTCAGGCTCTTTATTTCACCACTTGAAGACAATTAATCGTAATTAAGAGAATACAAAAATGTTTAAAAATAATGAATTTTTTCTTCAAATCAAAATAGAATTTGCACATTTCGGATCATTTCTTATAATAAAATTATTTAAAAAAAAGCTTACCACCATGTTTTGCAATCTTTTGTTGCCATCCAGGTATTTTTTCTTCAAGAAAATCTTCTAATTCTACCACAACAAATACACATCCCAATAAAAATAAATCAGGAGGCACTAAAATCAACATAAACATCATTTATAAACTTTACATATGACTTACGAAGTGTAATCAAAAAGTTCCAAGGACTTACATACTGCTTAATAATTTATAAACATATTACAAATCATTCAACACTATCTCCTACAAAGTACTTCTTTGGAAACGTATATAACTTTTCCAAAGTCGTCTCCTCTGCTGGAAGGACGCTAAGAACTCTTCTGAAATATTGTTCAGCCCCTCCATTGAAATTTTCATTCGAAAAGTCTCTACTTTTCCAAAGATCTCTTGAGTTTGCAAACAGTAAGTTCTTGTGAGTATGGTATTTTCCTTCGAAAAGCCTCACAGCTAATAATATAAGAAGTACACGTCCCGAAATATTATAGTGAGATTCTTTTGATCTCATAGCTATGACAGTACATTCAATGATCTTCCAGTGTAGGACAATCCCAGATCTCAAATTTAGGTCTTAAAATGGGTTTCTGTGAAACTTCCAACTGGATTATTGGCATTAACATAGATAATATAAAGTACGTGGAACTTTTTTCATTCGCCTCACCACAAACGTGCTTAATCATTAACGTGTAATAAAAATAAGTAAGTAAAAACGCTGCTGTTACAGTACTTACATTTAAGATTTGGATTATGACCATAGAATGGCCCTGGTCGATGTTGTACAGGTTGTGTAGTCTTTGTACCATACTGTAGCTTTGGCGGTTCGGTCGTAGGTGTAGGAGGATGTGGTTGAGCACCAGGTGGCTTTATAATTTCACCGCTTGGACCGTTGATGGTCCTCCTTTGCAGAGCTATAATTTCTTGGGGTTTCGAATTCAGTGCAGCATTGTGTTGCGCCGTCATCAACCTATTTATAAAAATATTAAAGAAATAGGATTAAAAGTTTCTGTTATTATTAATGTAATAAAATGTAATATATAACTGAATCATAAAAGAAAAAAAAATAGATAACATGAAAATTATTAGTAACCTCAGAAATTAAAATTATACCTTAAAGTTCCAGCAGCAGACGGTTCTTGGATGGCTTCCGGTCTCTGAACACCAACTGAAGAGCCTCCGCTCTGTAACTTTATGCTTAACATATTAGCTAGGGCAGTTTTAGTCTTGGCATTGACGACCAAGGGGCTTGGAATATTGGCTTCTTGAACATGGGGTAAATTGGTGGTCGAATCTGCCAACTGAGGTTGTCCGATTGGACGGATTACTGCAGCCGGAGTAATTGCACCTAGGAATACGAAATAATATCACATACAGAGGAGTGAAAGCGTTATGTAAAATAAATATCTCGGATGCTTTTAAACAGTAACTAACCTTGTTGGGCCAAATGGTTTTTCTGTGCTTGTTCCCTCTGCAGTTGCAGTTGTTGAAGCCGGAACTGTCTCAGCTGAATCTGCTGCTGCTGGTTCTGGTCAGTGAACTGAGTGTTGTTTTGATTGATAGGACTCAGTCCAGGTGCATGCTGCATATTTTGAGCCAAAGTAGGTTGTGTCAGTGTCCCTGGGGTTATATTTTGTTGTATATTTGGCGGCAAAACTATTCCTTGTTGTTTGGCTTGTTGCTGCAGCCACTGAACTTGTTGCTGTGTTGTCAAGCCCGGTGGAACATTGCCTGAATAAGTGAAGATGTTTAATTAAACTTTTATTCTTTTTAATTTATATAATAAAATCAGGACAAAGTTTACGTTACAAGTTACCATTACGACAAAAATGGATAGAGGTAAAATTGTTCGGTATGAAAATTTGAAGTTATTTCCAAAACAATTGCGAAAAAAAATGCGATAGGTTTATTGTTCTTGCATAATAAATTTGTATTGGCAAGTAAATATGTAATACTAAAAGGCCAATGCTTGAAAAAACATATATTTGCTTTGGCCATGAACACTGCATATAAAAAAATTAAAAACCCTATGCAACTTTTTTTCATCAAATTTCGTTATGTAAATTTTAAATTATATCGAATAAAAACTTACGAAGATGTTCTATTTGTTTATAACCAAATATATATTAAGACCCTTCCCAAAATTCCCCTTCTTGTTCTTATTGTACAATCTCACGTCAAAGGTTGGCAATCGATTGTTTCGATTTCGATGATCAAGCGAACTAATTCCTATCTATCCCCTCCTGTAACTTGTCAAAAACCCAAAAAGTTACATTTTGTCTAAATTTCGTTTATTTTACTAAATTTTGTAAAACAGTAAACATTGCAATTCTTAACTAAATATTCTTTGCTTTATCAGTTTACGACAGTCTTTTTCTATTTTGGCCAACTTATCCATTATAGCATTTGTTTGCAAACATTTAAACTAATTACTTTAAACACGCCGCTATAATCCGCTTAAAAGATACCGGTTCCAAACTTTTAAAAAATCCCGTTATCGTAAAGGGTTTAGAACCGACCGTTATCTATTTATTTTTAAATATTCTAAATCTCTTTTAAAGGATACCGTGAAAGGCCACCCAAGAATTCTGATTATTCCAGTTAAAATGCAATTCATTTGTGTGTATAAACCAGCTTACCTTTTCAATTCTTTTTATTTTTTCCAGGTGTGTTCCAGACACCTTTTAAGGTAAAATTTTTGTTTATGTACCTTTTGTTCCTTCGCATAATTTATTTTTGCATTTTCTCATCTAATTAGGGTCCTAGGACAGAGGGCCTCTCTCATCCTAGTACGGAGCCCCCTCTTATGAATATCCAATTTTTTTGTGCGATTAAAATATTTAAAAACAATAACGCCCTTTTTTAAGAGTTGTTTTCTTCCTTGTTTTGTCTTGTTATTTTGTGTCTATCTTTCTTGTGTTTCTCGCCTCTATGAACTATCCCACCCATAATCTACCAGGACTGAGCAACTGTGCCTTCAAGTCACATAGTGTATTAGTGTTCTAAGTTTACTTCTTAGTATTTAGTTCACTATATTTGGCACACTCTCATTAGGTGTCCGATGTACATTAGCTTACTCTTTTTGAACGTTGGCATTATTTTTTTTCTTTTGCAGTCTATTTAGAACCTCATTACTAAAAAATCAAGTCCCAGCTCACTACAACCGATTTAAACTATTTTTGTGCATATCCCCACTGGAATAATAGAATACCTACAGAAAACAAAACCGATTATAAGAACAGGGGATCTACAGTCTTCATTGAACCCACCTTTTAGGTACACTATTAAAATGGTCCTATCTTAATTCGATAAATAAAGCTGTATGCAATGGAAGTGGTATGTATGAGTTGCAAATTAACAGAAATATACCTCTTATCAAAATATGACTGCCTCTTTGTTGCACCTGCTTAATAAACTGCCTGTGTCTTTGTATCTTAGCAACAAAAATGGCTTGTTGCTCTGGTGGCATCTTTTGTAACTCTTGATGTGTTCTAGCGTCCAGCTGAATGAATTGTCTTTGTGGAACAGCGTTTCCTTGTTGAGCAGTTGGTGACCACTGGACTCTAGGACCCCCAGGCTAGATATAAAAAAATAATAGTTTCAAAATAGTAAAAAATATATTACGGTAGTTATGGGATGCCCGGCAAATGTGAATTATCGTCGTAATGTTTTTAATTAATTAAATAAAATTTTATTGGAAGCGAGTTTTTTTTAGAAATTTCTCACTGCGCTATTACGAAGCCCTTTTAAATTAAATTGTGGCTTATTCTCATTAAAATAGTAATTACTTTAGAATGCCACAAGAAAATAGCTTCAGAACAATATTAAATCCACATAATATGTAAACAAACCGTAAATGATTTTTTGCTACTAATCGCGATATTTGGAGTTTTAGTAGGAGAAAAATAAATTTACTTTTATCTGCTTAATAAACCGCTGCCGATCTATTTCTTTGAATGTCAGTTACGCGCGAAATCAATTTTTAAGTAAAATTTGTATCAACTCGACGATAAAAGTTCGATACATGTTGATCAGAGTTTCCTATCGACAAAAACCAAAATACGTTTTAAAGGTGAAGAGAGCAGCTTTCGTATACAATTTTTGAATTTTGCCGCAAATGAAATCAGTTTCTATAAAGCTGTTCAATAAATAAATATTGCGCGATTTTTGCCATTTTTTATGATTCTCACGAAATCACTTATCACTTCCTTGACCGGTCGCTGTGGGACTTCTGTTGTTAGAGCCTAATCTTCTATAAGATGAAATTTCGATTTTGAGTTTTGTCTAAAAAACGCTGAATCTCACGTTACGGGAAATGATTCAACGGAGACGGCATTGGATGGAATTTGTAACTGAAGTTATACAGTTTTGAAAAACGTGCTTAAACGGGGTGTGCCAAATTGGTATGTTTTACAGGGTATACCAGAAACTAGAGGAGATAGAAAAAATGTAGTTAAGATGTCATGACTTCTTTTTTCGTTAAAGTAACGATTACCTAATTAAATCTAAATCATCAATCGCTCCCCACATTAGCGAGATTCAGGATAATTATTGAAAAATGTCGAAAACGACAGGTTAAATATCTTCTTTGTTGAGAAGCGTTCAGTGGCGTACAAGAATTTTTTTAGTGGGTCACATTAAACGAAATATAACACCGACTTATGTTTTTTATGAGACACCCTATATATTTTGACATTTTTCGCTTGAATTTTTAATTCTCTTTCTATTTCTCTTAATAAATCATATGACATTATATATATATATATATATATATATATATATATATATATATATATATATATATATCTATTTTCAGTTGTTGAAGCTACTCTGCAAATAAATTCTTTATTTGACATTACGTTATAGACACTTAGAAACAAAATACTCAGTAACACCTTCTAACAATTTATTATGGGGATAATAATCCTTTGCAGTTTAATTTACCAGAAATAAGATCAATCAACTTAAAAAATGAAAAGAACTCATCTACCTGCAACAAAAAACTACTTAACAATCAGAATTCATTTTACGAAAATATTAACAATATAATAAACATAAAACATCAATAATGCACAAAGGAACAACTAGAATTCATTATACAAAAATTTACAAGTAATAAATATTCAAAAAAACCCCGTTTTGTTATAATAATAATTGACACCTTTTTCTTACAGATCTTACTCAATTTTTTCTAAATGCTTGATAAATGCTTTGGAATTATTTTTCCTTAGTATTAAAGCCAGTTTTATAAATACTGTTTGTTTAAAATCGCCAAATAAAAAAATAGGAGGATTTAGTTCTGGTGAACAAGAACCACAAGTTCCAATCCACTGATTATAAAATTTTTCATTTAAATAATTTCCAACGTATTCGGCATTAATGGCAGGTGCTCCATCTTGTTAAAAAACGTATTCCTTTCGGCCAAATATGTATTTCTCATTAACAAAACACTAACGTTAAAACCGAATCTCTCTCAGCTCCTGATCCCCTGAACTAAGTGAGGAATTGAGTTATTCCAATGTAGTTTATTGTGCCAGTTAAATACTCATGCACTGAATACGCGAGCTACATGGCTAAATATTACCTTCACTATTACCTATTACCTTTTAATATAACCTACTCTACGAAATGAATATTTTTACAAGATGTAATAATATGTTATTTTATCTAAACGTCAAAATAAACTTATTTTAAAGGAAAATTTTGGCTTATTCCCAATAAAACTAGTAAATTGTATTACGATGTCACAAGGAAATAGCTTCAAAACAATAATAAAAAAAATAGAAGACAATAATATTGTAACGACTATTTTGCTTACCACAGGGTAAGAATATGGGGGACAAGATTGGGCAAACAAAATAATCGAAACAAGTGCATACGGACACTCAGTTGGTTGTTGGAGAGCTGGGTCGTGGATAAGTTGAAGATATTGGGGGTTGGATTGGGCAACTACAAAAAAAAGAAATAAAGGGGTACTTATACAAATCTCTTGGGACAAACAGAATGAAAATAAACGAAAACACCTCAAGAAATTTAATATAGGGCGCCACTTGAGGTGCCCAATTATACCTATTACAACCACTAGTTGTAACTAGGGAAATAATTGTATAACATCAAAAATATAGAAAAAAGTATCTTTTTCAAATAAAACTCAAAATAGATCAGAGAAACAAATTAAACATTTATTTTTGTCTTAAACAAAACAGATCAAAAATACATATTATAAAAGAAACATATCATATAACATAATACAAATAACAAAAACTTACATGTTCTTTGTTTACTATATTATGGACAATTAGATTATCAAAAATTAAGGATCCTTCTTAATGAAAACATATAAATTTAACCATATATATGAAATATCATTTCTACATAATAATCAAATTAAAATTGTCATAACAAAAAAACAAATTAAGCTTGCTGTCAGGTATCACATTTAATTTTGATGACAAAGAATGAAAGCAATTATTACTTTAGCCAAAAAATATCTGTCTTTACTTTGAAAAATTAATATATTGAATTGTTACCTTAATGTTTTTTTATACAAACACTTCGAAACTTTGCATCTCTGGGGAAGCTACTCGGACAAAACTTTCAAAACTGGAAGGCAGCAACCATCAGGAACTAGTTCTACACTCCAGGACAAAACGATAGGAACAGGAACTTGGTGGAAGAATCGAGCCGACTACGGGGACATCCTATATCATACTTCTTTAAATATTTAGTAGTTACCCTTTTCTAAACCTGTCTTATTACAGAGGGTAATTGTTCCTCTAATTAACAAAATTTGTCGACTTTTTTCTTCGAGAAGTTCTTCATCACTTCCTCTCAAATCTTTTACTCCATTCCCAAATGTCTGCCCCGCTTGGAACTTAAATCTCGACCTCGTTTCAAATCTTTGACTCCATTCTCACATGTCTGCCCCGCTTGGAACTTAAATGCCGACTTCCTTGCTTCGTTACATTTTACCAGAATCTAGCCAAAAATTTCCCTTCCGTCTTGCAGCTAACCTGTCCCCCAAACTCAAGAACCAAAACAATATCCCCTCGCTTGTATCGACAAAAAAAAACAAATTTTAAATGTTCCTTTATTGCCTAAACAAACAAATATTCTTTTTTTTGACCCTCGACTAATAACGAAAAACAACTTTAATATTAGGGGAATTCATGGTTTATTGCGTTTTTAACGAAGAAAACAAATAAAACCTTTTTTTTATCAGGGGGCATCATAAATTTACATAATACAAATTAACAAAATACGTGCGTATTTTAAACTTGAGTTTTACCTGGCTTATAACAAAAGGTTCGATATTTGAATCTAAACACAGACAAAAAAACATCTATATTTACTTTTGAATCGGTAGAAATATACGCATTTAAAAATCTCGTCAAAAAAACTTGAAATATTATTTCGATTGTTTTCTTTGGTAAAAACAACAGGAGCGTAACACAGAAATCTTTTCTATACACTTTAAATAAAAAAACGCTACAATGCCCCTTCTTAAAAGAAAAAACTCGGATAATTCTTATCCAGTTTTTGATAAAGGCAAAACAACAAAAACCAAATCAGAAGATGACCTCTTAACTGAGTCGAAACTTCTTAATAATATCTTTTAGATGATGGCTAGCATGGGATTAAACAACAAAAACAAAGTTAGTTACAAAGAATGGGCTAGCGTGCCATCGATCGCCAGACTCTTTAAAGTCGAGTAGACTGAAATTTTTGACTCTACTTGAACTGTAGGTGACATGAGTTTCTATGCCTTGGGGGAAGCTAACCTTATGCCCTGCAGTGAACCTCGCTGACATTCACAGCAGTAACACAAGTGATTTGTCGGGCAGGCATAGCCATGACACCTCGTTGCCTAAGCCAAGTGCTATACACAAATCCAAAATAAATTGCTCTACACTTAACAGGTAGGCGTCTACTATCTCCACTATACGCCTAGCGAGACAGGGAATTCGGCAACGGCTCCACAAAAAATTAGGATATAGACCCTAAATCTATATACCTACATATGACAAAATGTGATTCTCACATGTGTCTCCCAAATAAAATAGGTTACCTGAACTAAAATTATCAAAAGTGAAGCAATATTCCAAAAGGATGAAATCAAATCAACATACAAACTCAAATATATAGACATGGGATAGGATGAACTAATTACTTGATGACATATTGTCCTCATCTGATACAAAAGGCTTTAAATCCTTAATGTGCCACTTACCAAGATCCGAACCATTTAAATCTGACAAACGATAAACCGTTGGTGACAATTTTTCCTTGATAGTTGCTTCAATATACTTTGATGCTAGTTTGGACATAAACTTGTTGACAGCACAAGACAAAACCTTATTTCTTTTCCAAACTCTATCACCCACTTGAAATTGGACTTCTCTTCTACGTAAGTTGTAACTTCTAGCGTTACGTTCATATCCTTTTCGAAGATTAGCCTTAACCTTTTCAAAAACTTTATCTATACCTTTGACTTCTGAAGCATACATGTTACGGTCACCTGGAATTATCTCGATATCTTGATTCTGTTGATCCTTATGATCAACACCATAATAGTTT